CCGGGCTGCCTGGCGACCGCCCTGCGCATCAGCGGAAGGTGGGCCGCATTGGGAAAGAGCGGGGGCTGCAGCCAGAGCAGTCACCAGCCCCGCTGTCACACCGTTGCCGCGCGACAGCAGCCAAAGCAAGCTGAAGGGATCAGAAACTGCAGGAAGAAACGTGCTTGGCTGGAGGGCATCCCCCTGCAGCATCCCTGCTGCTGGTACGAGGGCTCCAGCCTGGCCCCGAGCCGGCACAGACCCCTCCCAGATCTCCAGCCACTGCCAGCAGCGAAGACACTAACTTCACCACCAGTGCGACAAGCATTGCCTCCCTCTTCACACACCTTGCAAACCCTGTATTTAAAAAAATGACGTGTGTTCTTTTCATGGTCAGCTCTTTACAAACCACAAACAAAAATGCATTTGTCATTTTAGTTTTCCAAAGGCTATAGGAAACAGAAAGGGACAAAAGCAACCAAGTTTGTATAAAAATAAAGCCACTTTAGTAGATGGAATTTCCTTTTAAAGGTGGGTGCCCATGAGCTTGGATCATCAGTATTTCCTCAAGGACCTTGGCTCTGATCCCTGCAACAAGCCAAATTTGGTTGTTATTTGGTTTCCATCCATGCTAGTACTCTAGCTGCTTTTTAACCCCTCTGCTGCTTCAAGTACCAGCTGCCCATTATCTAAGACCTACAAAATGACATCCCTGAAGGACAAGAGCCCCATTTGTGAACCCGCTTGCAGGAAACATCCATTTCTCCAGGGTCATTCCAGCGTGACCCTATTAATAGTCTTTTTCCATGCAGCGACAAAGACACTGGGTGTGTATTTGCAGCAGAGCCAAATGCCAGTTCAGGCACCTCCATTGCTCTCGTTCATCCCCATGGCCCTACTGCTCGCGGCTCGGTGCTTGCAGAACTATTTCTGCAGCACACATGAAACAGATTCGGCAAATTCCTCAGCTGGAAAATAACCACTTGCCTTCCAGGTAGCTCTTCAGCCGGATCTGTTCCCTGGTCTAGTCCCCATGCAGTGACATGGACCGCTTTGCTAGCCAGCATGACACAGGGAGTGACGGGAAGGAGGTGGCACCTGTTTAAGCTGTCAAAACATACAAGTCTGCTTCTGGAATCTGTTGTGTGCTAGCACTGTCCCTGCTCACATGAGACTCCTTGGTCTCTCTCCCCCTTACTCTCAAGCATACAACAATGGCATATCATTGCTTCTCCAAGAGAGCTGTGCTGGGTTGATCAGCCCCACCGCCTGCGTTACGCCTTGCTCTCTTTCATCATCTAGGAATGCTTTCTGGGCCATGAAACAGTGTCTTCCTCCCAAACACACAAAAAGGGATAATTTCCTTTGATTATTTGTTTGCAGTGTAGAAGTAAACTGAAGTATTTTCCTCTGAAGATAAAGAAAAGGATGCAACTAATGTCAGTTGACTGTCTTTGCTCTTTGTCTCGTATTGGTGATCCACAAAACCAAGGTCTCAAAACCACTCCACATGTAAGAATTACTCCATTAATAACACAAAGATGATATATACAAATTCATACATAAGTGTGTATATATATAAAAGTATCTATATGCAGAGAGAGAGAGAGAGAGAGAAAAAAAATGCATCCACAGACAAGCTAATTTTGTCATAGTTAAAAACTAAAGAAGAGACCAGAAAACTGAAATAGTTCAGCAGATAATCTTTGGCATGTCCAGAGCAAATTTTCACAGAGCTGTCATGCAGCAGCTGAGATAAGGCAATGAATGGCGCTCTCTCAGCGCTCCTTAACAGATCTCTGAATGACGGTTTACAGCAGTTCAGACACAAACCGTAATACCGCTAGTCTTTTTAATCAGTGTGACCAGCAATGGCTTTTCAACCACTGTGATGGTAGCCAAGAATGTTTCTTGTTTATTTAAAAGCAAGCATTGAAAATGGTGTTATTTTTTGCCACAGTCACGCAGTAATATATCATTCATCTGCTTGAGTAAAGAGAGGCACAGAAGCATGATATGTTGTCTGGTCTTTCAGATCTGGAGAGCTTTTATTTAGTTATTGATTAATAGCCCTGTAATTAGTATCATAATTTTCAACTCAGTATGTTAAGAAACATAAACAAAAGAGGCATCTGTACGTCTCTAGCCTGCCTGCAAAAATGCTGAGTTAGTGCTGCAATATTACTGATGCATCGTAATTCACTTAACTTGTTCTAACTTTGGGCTGAGTTTATACTGATCACCCTCCGGGGATTCAAGTTGCCCACCCTGGAGGGGAGACAACCACCGTGTCACCTCAGTTACGGCAGAGGTCCCACGCTGCTCACCCAAAAGCGGGCAGAGGTTTGGCTGGAGGGACATGGACAGCAGAGCTGAGATCCCTTCCATGAGCAAGTCACACTTTCTATCTCCGTATCTGCATTTACAAGAATTTAGCAAAACGGGCATATTGTTATCCAGTACATTCCGAACGTTTAAACAAAAGGCACCGCTAGGTCAGATTTCCTGATCACCCAAGATCTGAAAATCTCCAAGAACTTCTAAGCTGCTTCTTTCTGTCAAAAAATGGTATATATGAAGCAAGCAGGAAACAGCAGCTTGGTTGTGGTCATTCTTGTTTCTTGAATACTTCTAATAGAAAATGATGGCATTCAAACGGAAACACATGCGTTTTAAATAAAATGGTTAGGCAATTCCTTTCTCTCTCACTTCCCTGTCCTTCTCGCTTCTCTTCTAGTTCACTTGAAGAGCCACGCTTTTGTTCAAGATATTTCTGGCAGGAGAGGAGTGTGAGGAAACCTGTAGGAAAAGCCTCAACCCATGAAATTTCCACCCTGAGATCCAGAGTCCTTATGGGAGTGGCTGAACGCACTGGCCACCCAAACATCTGCATGCTATCTGTACAGGCGACACGGTCCAAATACACAAGAAATCAATTCTACTGCTAGTAACAGTCACCGACCTTATCTTACGAATATGCATATTAAATATTTCAGGAGACTAGGCACACTGCCTGACAGATTTGTGTTGTCTGCATGCTTTCCTTAAAGTCCCAGGTATATGTATTGAGAACTTTTAGTTGTGGAACAGTCTGATTCAGTATCCCAGAACACGTGTGCTAACTTAATTAACGCCACAGTACATCATTCTTGAAAATAAGTATTTAAAATTCTAAGCAGAACAAATCATATTCCAAGATTAGATGCTAACATCATAGCAGTTATTTTTCTCAAGGACAGTTCATTCCAAGGGAGAGCGAGCTAAGCCTTATAAAGCTCTCTAATCATGTCATAACAAATGATAATACCAACAGCAACAAGCTCCCTTAAAGAGCAGGTAGATACATGCCAGCTTCTCTGAGAGGTAACAATCAGACCATGCAAAATCTTTCAAATCAGTTCTGCATTTCTGTAATCTATAATGTACATTAAAATGTTTTGCTGTTCATAAAAATGATATGCTTATTTGGTATTTGTATACTAAATTTGAATACTCCAGATTAAATTACCAATACACTGGAAAGCACTGGCAAATTATCTTCTCACCTACATTATTTCACTATTTAAACTGCATTTGCTGAAGGGAAAAAAGAAGGAGGAAAAGACACCCCCTCCTCCAACAAATACTGATTTTGTAAGACAGCAGCGTTGTGTGGAATTGCAGAGTCAGTGGGTCAACCTGGATGTGCTCTTGATCCCAGTGAAAATAAAAAGCAAAACTTAAACAGCTTAAAGGGTAGAAGAAACTGGATTTCTTTAAAGTGATCTACATGGTGCAATGGCTAGAGCAGAGCGAAGGGAAGGGCCCTGTTAGGAAAGCTGGGCTGGGACAGTCCTCCAAGGACAAGGACATCTCCCAAGAGCAGAGCCTACTGAGATAAATGCAATTACAGCAGCAAAGGCTGCTGGTTGCTGACTGAGCTGGGTTATAGAATCATAGAATCATTAAGGTTGGAAAAGACCTCTAAGATCATCGAGTCCAACCGTCAACCCAACACCACCATGCCCACTAAACCATGTCCCTAAGCGCCTCATCTACACGTCTTTTAAATACCTCTAGGGATGGGGACTCCACCACTTCCCTGGGCAGCCTGTTCCAAGACCTGACCACTCTTCCAGTAAAGAAATTTTTCCTAATGTCCAGTCTAAACCTCCCCTGGCGCAACTTGAGGCCATTTCCTCTCGTCCTATTGCTGGTTACTTGGGAGAAGAGACCGACCC